TGGCGTGATACTAGTCATGTGACCTCGCTGACGCAACAGGTAGATATAATAAAAATGATACCATGATTTTCTTCACTAAAGATTACTTGTATTATCGTACCTGTAAACTTGGTAATCTTGCATGGTTTATCATAATGTAGCAAGTTTTAACCCTGTAATAAACAGATAAATCGAACTTTTATAATAAATACAGGGTGATTAAAGATAAACTCACGTGTTTAAAATGATTATATATTGAAAACTATTTACCCTAAGAAAACAACTGTACATTGATTAGCATAATGTTTATTCAAGACATTTTAGGTTTTTACAAACCATGTACATATCACGACAGTTTGAGAGAATCACCTTTTAACAAGATGGCCAGCCTCTAATACGTATCAACCTGCTTCTACTAGAAGACAGAATTATAAGCTGGTCTATTCAAGTAGAAAAGGATTAGAGAGATATTCGGAAATTGCACCATCAAGTTTTCGACCATGTATTTTACTCAATAGGAACTTGGATATTGTGGAAATGAGCAAAGAAATGAGAGTACAAAATCAAATGAAAAGTGTTCAGAACAGCTGATACTTGCAGTAAATTCATTTAGAGACAGTCTAAATATACTACACGAAAATTATGGAAAGCATATTGAACACAGTAACTTCATTTAGAGACTGTCTGGACATAGTACCTGGAAATGACAGAAAGCATATTGAACACAGTAACTTCATTTAGAGACTGTCTGGACATAGTACCTGGAAATGACAGAAAGCATATTGAACACAGTAACTTCATTTAGTTACTGTCTGGACATAGTACCTGGAAATGACAGAAAGCATATTGAACACAGTAACTTCATTTAGGGACTGTCTGGACATAGTACATGGAAATGACGGAAAGCATATTGAACACAGTAACTTCATTTAGGGACTGTCTGGACATAGTACATGGAAATGACGGAAAGCATATTGAACACATTTTGTGACAGTTTTTTATCCGCCTTGTTCAGACTTTCCTGAATAAAACGTATAATTACTAATGTGACTGGTGAAATTATGTTCACCTGGGTGAAGTAATTAATTATATTTCTAATAACTTTAAACATACTGTTACGTCTCCGTTCGTTAGTTAATTTTCCGTAAATTCGTTCCGACGAAACTTTAGCGACACAAGTCCTTTCTTAAATAAAACTGGTTTTTTCTTTCTGAATATAACTTTGCAATACACTTAATTTCAACAGTCGCGCTACAACAAACGCTATAATTCTCAACGAACGTCTCACGTGCTCGACTTCAACAATACTCAGTTCAATTACACACTCTCTGACTGCAGTTCAATTACTCATTGCCCCGTCACGTTGTGACCGTCTTATATATACAAGACTAACACATATCTAGTGAATGCTAGGGCAGTCATGAAGGAACAGGATATTTCTAGAAAGAGGTGGCGTGATACTAGTCACGTGACCTTGCTGACGCAACAATACAGTTTTCTTCAACTGGAGATTGGATTGTGTTGTAAACATCTTGTAAAACACCATTATGGTAGTGAAGTAAATGATGTTACAGCACTGGCTATCTGATGGTAATAAAGTAAATGACATTACAGCACTGGCTATATTGTTGCGTCAGGGGAGGTCACGTGACTAGTATCACACCACGTCGTTCTCGAACATTCACGTCCTTTCCTTAAATCTCGGGATCCTTCTAGATATAGTGTAGTCTTGTATATATATAAGACGGTCACAAAGTGACGGCAACAATGTGTGTAATTGAACTGAGTATTGTTGAGTCGAGCACGTGAGACGTTTGTTGAGAATTATAGCGTTTGTTATAGAGCGACTGTTGAAATTAAGTGTATCGTAAAGTTGTATTCGGAAAGAATAAACCAGTTTTATTTAAGAAAAGACTTGTGTCGCTAAAGTTTCGTCGGAACGAATTTACGGAAAATTAACTAACGAACGGAGACGTAACAATATGATGTAATAAAGTAAATGATATCACAGCACTGACTATTTGATGGTAATAAAGTATATGATGTTACAGCACTGGCTATCTGATGGTAATAAAGTATATGACATTACAGCACTGGCTATCTGATGGTATTAAAGTAAATGACATTACAGCACTGGCTATCTGATGGTATTAAAGTATATGATATTACAGCACTGGCTATCTGATGGTATTAAAGTATATGATATTACAGCACTGGCTATCTGATGGTAATAAAGTATATGATATTACAGCACTGGCTATCTGATGGTATTAAAGTATATGATATTACAGCACTGGCTATCTGATGGTAATAAAGTATATGATATTACAGTATTGGCTATCTGATGGTAATAAAGTATATGATATTACAGCACTGGCTATCTGATGGTAATAAAGTATATGACATTACAGCACTGGCTATCTGATGGTAATAAAGTAAATGACATTACAGTACTGGCTATCTGATGGTAATAAAGTATATGACATTACAGCACTGGCTACCTGATGGTAATAAAGTATATGATATTACAGCACTGGCTACCTAATGGTAATAAAGTATATGACGTTACAGCACTGGCTATTTGATGGCAATGGAGTAAATGATGTTACAGTATTAAGTATCTGATGATAGTAATTTATAATACTTGTAATTAAACCTAATTACATTTGATCTGATAGTGATATGCATCTTTCTTTAATGAAAACAGTTGCTGATATAACTTGCAGTTGAACTAAATTACGTTAAGTTCATGGTAAACTTTATTTTTCTCTCCATTCGCTAGTTTGATCAGTTGTTATAGATGTTTGATAAACTGAATGATAACGGAGAATAAGAATTTGTTCTTAATTTTAAGATTTAACGATCAAAAGAGATCATCTATTGAACAGGGCTAGAAACTTTTACTGATTACTTCATCACAAGTTGCCTGTAGTGTATGCAATTGAAAAGCAAGATCAAAATAAAAACTTAAAAAAGTAATTTTAATTTTTTGATCCTCCGCGTCTGAAGTTACATGAACTTTATTGTTTGAATTATAAACATTTCCATTAGATGGAACAAAAGTTTTGGTTTTCAAATATTCTCTGGTATCTATTAGTATTTGGTAAATTGAATCCTAACCTGAATGAACTTCTCCAAGGCAGCCATAAACGGGGGTCAGGTGCAACTACCAAAATTCACCACGAGAGGGCGTTCACCATTCACAAAATCCGATAAATAACATAACGACTTTTGTTTTGCATTGAAAAGTTTAGGATTTGGAGCAGACTCGTGCAAAGACGCCGATTTGAACACATCTTGGTAAAAGCTATTAGAGAGATCATATATAATCGATATTAGCAATTAGCAAACTACGGAATATTTATGTGATCAATATTATCACTGAGCAAACTAACGTATATTTATGTGATCAATATTAGCACTGAGCAAACTAACGAATAATCATGTGATCAATATTAGCATTAAACAAACTAACGAATATTTATGTGGTCAATATTAGCACTGAGCAAACTAACGAATGATCATGTGATCAATATTAGCATTAAACAAACTAACGAATATTTATGTGATCAATATTAGCACTAAGCAAACTAACGAATAATCATGTGATCAATGTTAGCAATGAACAAACTGACAATATTTATTTAATCAATATTAGCACTTAACAAAGTAACAAATATTTATGTGATCAATGTTAGCAATGAAAAAACTAACACTATTTATTTGATCAATATTAGCACTGAACAAACTAAGGAATATTTATGTGATCAATATTAGCACTGAACAAACTAACGAATAATAATATGATCAATATTAGCACTGAACAAACTAACGAATATTTATGTGATCAATATTAGCATTGAACAAACTAAGGAATAATTATGTGGTTGATAGTAGCCCTGAGCAAACTAATATTTATGTAATGATATCTGCACTGAGCAAACTAATGAAAGCTTATGTGAATCTAACAACAGAAATACTTTGACATATTATTGAGTACGTTTAACAGCGGTGCTGAAATTGAAGCCAGCTAGTGTTTACAGAAATATATAAAGAAAAGAAAGTATTATCTGATAGATGTTTCAACAGAAATGTTACAGATATCGTTAAAGAACAATTTGTATCTATATATGTGGATTAAAGGATATAACAGATATTGTGACAAAGACAATGAGACAGTATATTTAATGTTCAGAAAAGTAACTGTGATATGTGTGAGTCTACTAAAACGTAGTAACCAAAACAATTAATCATAAAATACCACTTATAAGAAATTAAAGTAGTCGAATTTCTGTGAAATTTATAGAAATATTAAATGCTCTAGCCATGGCAATTGTCAGTGTACATGAAACTGTAATATGACACAAGCTGATAAAACAAATGTAAGTTATCTCTTTTTTTTTTTGGGGGGGGGGTCTAATAGTACAGTCGATTCTTTGAAGACAAAAGGCGGAAGACTTTCGAAACGTCGTCCTCT